CTATTTTATTTAATTCCACATAATATTTTAATTTAATACTTGCAATAAATGTAGTAATAAATGAATATCAATTTCATTAATATACTTACATTTTAATTTAAAATTCTCAAAATTAAAGATTATTAGTTTTTTTTTATTTAAATTAGTATTTATTAAATTTAAAATATAAAAAACATTTGTATTATAATAATTTAATATTTTTTTTATTTTCTTATAAATTCAAAGTTCTCATATATTTTGACATTTATATTTAATTTGTTTTTTTTTTAAAATTAACATATATAATAAATGAGTCTCACAACTAGTTAACAAAAATACATTCTCTTCAAATCTCTTTCAAAAGAAGGATGATTTGTCATACCATCATCATATATTATTTCATTTTTAATAATTTGTATAAAAGTTCATTATGGACCCCTTGGTTATTGGTCAAATACATCGTTCGCCCTTTCTGACCAATTTATTCCTAACCAATTAATGTCTTTATAGGTTCCTTAAATTGTGACTTTGATTGATATAGCAATCTACTAAAAGCTCAGCTCTCATATGCGTTTAGATAGAACATATTTACATATAATATATACGAGTGATGTAAATATGTATATTATTTTTTAATTTATTATATAACTTTTGTTGAAGTTATAGTTTTTATTGCATGTGTATATAATTTCTTATAGTTGGGTATGTGCCAAAATGATGAAATGATAATGTACAACTAGGTATAATTATGTTTAAGAAGTACATGTCACAGCAATAATTCTCAAGAAAAAAACAAGGGGTGTAGTGTAGGTATCTTTATAGAGAAAAACAATGCTTCAATTAATATGGCATATTGGCATCCAAAAAAAAGTTTACATGACAAAAAAATTTTTTTGATGATTTTGTTGTTCATGTTTCTAAATAATTTAAATTATTTCATAACTATTTTGTATTGTAAATTTGATTTAGGGTGTGTTTGGCAAAACTAGTTGGTAGCGTGTATTTGATAACTGGTAGCAGATAGCGTTTTATTAAACTTTATTTTTAGATTTTAAGTGTTTTGTTTAAACTAAACGCTAAGAGTATGTAGCTAGCAGTTATCAAACACTCATGCCCTTAATTTGTATTTGTAAAAGTACATGTTTAGTATAGGGTTATTAAAGGATAACAACAAGTTTTAGAATTTCAAATTCAATGCTTCAAAATATTGCAATCCAAAAAGGATGTAAGTGGTGATAATGAAGTACATATGTGAAACACATGAATATATATATATATATATATATATATATATATATATATATATATATATATATATATATATATATATATATATATATATATATATATCCTCCTTAATAAATGATTGTTTTTTTGTTACATGTCAATCTCTCATTAATTTTGATACTTATCATTTTGTGGTATTTTTGAAATAAATATTATCCACTTGTCAATTTTTGGTTTGTTTCAATTTTTAAAATTAAAACCATATACTTATATATGTAAAGTATTACATATCATATATTTGATATTAAATTGCAATAAATAAGTTTCTTTCTTTTTTATTTTAAAGTTGTACATTAAAAAATATTTTTTGTTTACACTATAATGTTTAATTTTTTTTCAAATCAATTCGTGTAATACACGGATCTCACACCTACTATATATATATATATATATATATATATATATATATATATATATATATATATATATATATATATATACTATCTTATAAAAGAAATCTAACTGTTTCTAAAAATAGATTGATTATAATAATAATATTTTTTAAAACGTCCAAATGATGAAGCTGATAGTATAAGTAACCATTAATAAAATAATATTAAATTTTAACCACATTTTGAATTCAAAAATTTATCATCAAATCTCCTTATATTTCTCAGCAATTTGATATGGTTCCCTCAAATCCCGGATTCATTCAAATTTTGAACCCTTTTAGATATCCTTAAATTTAGCATGTTGATTCAAATATCCCTCCAATCGCATATACCTCTTTGTTCCCTCCTCTGGTATAAAGCCCACCGTCCAGGAACAAAAAATGATTTCATATCCCAAATAACACCATAGTTTGATTATTTTGTCTTCGACATGTACTTTCTTTTGTAACATAACATTTTTGTAGAGGAAACATATCATCGAAAGAATTTACACACCCCGCCGCTTTGCGCGGGTACACTGCTAGTATGTGTGTGTATATATATATATATATATATATATATATATATATATATATATATATATATATATATATATATATATATATATATATATATATATATATATATATTACATAGATTTCACGTTAAATTCGAATCACCTCACACGCTTTTCAGGGTTTCTTCATATCATTGCTACAGCAAATGTGACAAAAAAAGTTTAATCCATCACTTTTTTGTTTGACATTTTCCAAATTAAAATGGAATAATTTAGAACAAGAATACATTTAATCAATAATATATATATATATATATATATATATATTCACAATTCCCTATAGTATTTTGTTAGATAGAATACAATAAAATGTGAGACAAAAACTCATATATCTCATTTCATTCTTTGTAGATAATATTTTTGTTTTGCTATTTGTAGGCGTTTCCGATTTTGTTGCGACTTGTCAGAGGGTAATTTTGTAAATATATTAACAATAATTTTAAACAAGAAATCTTTTAAAATCAGGAACGTTTGAGGTGGTGGGTGTGACATGTGAAATGCAACTAAAACAACATTGGCATGGATTTGGTTGCGCACAATTCCTGGTTTTAAGTTTTTTAAAAGCAAATTGTTTTATATTGCTCGTACATTTATACATTTAACAAACAATAAAAAATATATCTATATAGATGGCATTTCATGATTAATTAAGATGGAATAAGAATAGTGGGCCCTAGAGAGGTCGTAATCCTTCACGGGATGAATTCATTGAGTACGACTGTACAGAAAGAGAAAGCAAACACATTACACACATCCATATTAAGTGGGCCATGTTCTCTCTCAATCATTTTACAACAAACAAATATCGCTACTTCCTTCTAAGTATTGACTAGTTGAATTAAAGTATTGTTTTACATATATGATTATCACTATTTAACAACCTCGTTTGTTTTCATACATGCATTGTTTACTAACCATTGTATTTGTATTTAATATTTATTGTGAAATGTTAAGTTTGTATTAGATGATGAATTTGACAAATCAAGATCTAAAGACTTATCTGGATGTCACATTGGAATTCACAAGTCATCTGTACCTCGTTGGTTTGTTGTATAAAAAATATGAGTGTTGAACAACTACTTTTCCTACTTGTGTTGGAATTTGGAAAGCAATTCTGACATCTGAAATGTGCAACTTGGGCGTCGGATGGAGGTGTCTGATGAAATGTTGATTCCTAAAAATAGATAACGTACATCTTGGAACATTTCACAAGTTTTACCCACAGAAAGAGCTCTGATTTTCTGCCATATTTCTTGATTTGTGAAGAGATAGATGTTATTGTAAAAGTTCAAATCTCACATTATCCGAAACTCCAAGTTGCTTTTATCCTTTGATATTCAACGTATTTGCAAGTGTTTGAAATGTGAGTAAATCACCATCTCCGGTTCTGTACTGGTGATTAGTGTTATGAGTGTGTTTGTTTTTGTTACGTAGCATTATTGACATACACAAACATAAACTAATACATTAACAGTTCCAGAAAACTCATATCATAGCATTATTGATGTAATCACCAACACTAAGTCGTTTATGTCTTTCTTGGAGGCTAAAAACATGCTACTATTGCATGAATCTTGTGAAGAAAACACTAACTCAATAATGGGTGGGAAGTTGATGTGTGGGCCAATGAGAGAGGTGATGGGTGGGAAGTGGGGTTAAAGAATAACCGGGTGATAAGAGACATATCGAATGAATTATCAAGGAATGTGTAAAATGATGGTTGGGTAGGTTTCAATAATCCAAAAGGAAAGACAATTATTAAAAACATAACGAGAAATTATGATGTTTTGGATGGAAAGATTTAGACAATGGAAAACCCAGTGATGAGTATGATAACCAAAGAAGACAAAGGTAGACGAATGGGGCGAGTTCTACAAAATTTATTTGGTTTTGGGTGAATGTGGAAGTTGTGAGATTAGGAAGATGAGAAGTCATTTGTAATGCTTCCACCCAATATATAGGAGGTAAGTATGCTTGGAATAAAAGTTTGCAAATGACATTATTGATGGTGTGAATCATGTGTTTAGATTTTCCATTTTGTTAGGAGGTCTGTGGGGAAGAAAAGAGAAGGTAATAGCGCTTTTGAGCAAATAGTTTGTGAAATGGATGATTGTCAAATTCTTGTGATTGTATTGGAAGGATTTAATTCCATTGATTCAACTGCATTTCGAGTGACATGCATCCGAAAATGTAAACTTGGAAAACACATCAAAAATTTTGACCAGGTGAGTAAGCTCATAAGAAATGTCAATAATGATAATGAAAAGAATATAATATTTTACTTCACCGACGTTAGTAAAGTTATATGAAACTAACAACCTAATAACATTGACATCAGGGTTGAGGAGACTGAGACACTGAGTGTTGTTGGAGTGGCCCCCACAATGGCTATTTGAGGAACGGTGATTGTGTCCACCACAATGAGAAATAAAGTAAAGGAGGGAGTATTTTTGTAAAACATCATGCTCAATATTGTTTTCTTTACTTCGAAATTTTATGATTTCGCAACTACAAGTATTTTCATAATTGAGATTAGGATTGTTGTAGTGGTATGAACTTGTTTTTGTAAATCTAAGTATTGTCGTTTGTTTTTACAGAGTGAATTAATGTAGGTTCTTAAGTTGCATTAGAAAAAAGAAGAAAGAACAGTCAGTGTTGTTAACATATGCATATAAAATAACCCTCTGAATACATGTGTGAAAAGAGTGACATGATCCATGATTGTAAAAATTGTGATGGGTTCAAATCAAGGAATATAATCATATATGATATGATATGATATGCTGTTAAGAGTTAAGACACAGTTTCAGCTTCAGCCTACCTGACCAAATTTGGCAATCAACTTTCTATTCAACAGAAACTTAAAAAAAAAAATATATAATACTCTAATAAACAATTTTTATAAGAAAAACACCTCTCAAAAAAAGTAATCGGCCTCAAGCAGATTGATTAAACGATGATGATGATGATATTTTAATTTTCGTCTAAACTTGCTGCTGTTTTGTCAAGATCAATTTCCCCCATACCTGTATCTTCTTCCTCTTCACTGTCTTCATCTCCTTCAACTTCTTCATTTGCTTGACTTAATTTAGCCATTCGTTCAGCCAGCAATATATCCTCACGTTCACTCACCTGTGTCACATAACGTAATTCAGTATTTTATTTTATTTTATTTTTAAAAAAAAAATAAGAAAAAAAAAGAAAGTAAGAGTTTGGAATTGTGAATTACAGCTCTTGGTGCCTCCTTTACTGTGAGTTTTCCTTTGTGAAGCTCGATTTCTTCAGTACATGCAGCTATTGCTTTAGTAAGAACTGAAATCCCTTGCTCCTAATGGAATCAGTTATTACATTACATTATCAAGTTATGTAATGAATTTCTATGTTACATTATGTTTTGAGAAAAATACAACATAAAAAAAAAAAGTGATGCATTTTGTTTTACCTTGTCAAGAGTTTGAGTGATAAGAACATAAGATGGAGGAGCAACCAGCTTAATTTTTACAGGACAATCCTGATTCCCAGCAGCTTCAGCCTTCCGCATAGCAGCCTACAGAAATTATAAATTAGTAACAAAAAAAAATCTATTAAAAGATAAAAGTAAAAGAAAAAGAGACACCTTAATGTGAAGAACTCCATCAAACTGAAAGCATTTCATCTCAATATCTGCCCGGATCTTCAAAGGCTGTGGGGTCATCCTTCTTCTAATGTTCTTCACCAATGCATCTTTGACTTCCTCGGTCAAAGCAGGAACCACTTTTGTCACCTAATAATTATTTAATTTAATTTTCTGGAAGATTTAAAACAATTTAAAAACGAACAAAAAAAAAGTATACAAAGATACCTCCACTCCATCAGGACCAGCTTCTTTAACTTCACGGGTGAGTGTGTTAAGAATGGAATCAGGATCATTCACAATTAACTTAAATGCCTGAATCCAATTAGCAAAAGTATAAGCTGTATATCTACTAAAAGAGAAACAATGATAAAATCCTGTAAATTTTGTTCATATCCCACCTCAAAGCAATGTCCATACTTCCGATATAAAGGCCAACCAACATGAATGTATAGATCCTGTAAACAAGAAAGAGATTAAAAGATTAATAAGTGTACATGAATAAACATAACACCATATCATATACATATATATTCCTTTATCTGCAGTGGTACAATGGAGGAGTGGTGACATAGCATTAGTAGTATTAGGTCTTCAGTTGCTTACTCTTTTTTTTTGGTGCATTTAAGTGTTTATCTATTTATATATTCCTTTATCTGCAGAACTTAGTTATAAATGCCTGCAAATGCAAGACTCAGCAATAAATGTGAGCTAAAGCCCTCATCCCTGTAACCCAACAGAAAATGTATTCTCTTGTGGCAGCTTGATATAGAGATACTTGAGTTGAATTTGGTAGCTAATCCTCAAAGCAACCTGATTCATGGTTAAATCGGTATGTACAATCACCACACATTTGTTACTTGACACGATAACGAATTTTGAGCAATACTCAATCAAAACTAATGATAATCGCAATGGTTTATCTCCTCTATAGATACATCATTTCTTCAATCAATTAGGTTTTTCATCCATTATAGAGTGATAGGAACTTGTATCTTTTGATAGCTAAGCATGAGGAGTACAGCTCTTATTACTTATTAGGGGCACTCTTAGGGAAAAAAAAAAAATCAAACTTTGATATATAATACGAGCCTTCGGTGTTGAGGCCAAAATGGCTAAGGAACCTGGCTTTATATAGCTAAAAGTTCCAGACCTCTTTGTTCACTTCTGAAGGATAAAAAAGATGGCAGAGTGAATCAACTGAATGCATTGTTTCTATAAACCCTTTAACTGCCCTACCAGCTAATTACCTGAGGCTATTGTTTCTATAACCCCTATAATTGCCTTAAATGGATGGATGAAACTTATATTTGCACACTAAACCATTAAGGCTCACAAGATGTGGTTTGATACACGTTTATATATAATCAACAATTGGCTTCATATCCAGCTGAGTTAAAGAATTCGGTAGTTACCTCAAGATCAAGCTGCATAGTTTCGGCTACGTGGCGCATAATCGAGTGAACAAGCTTACTCTTATTATACCTATCTTCACAAATCTGAATATCCTCTTCGGAAACCCTCCTCTTACTAAGATTCACATAGCCTTTCTCTTCATCAACATGAAGAACCATAACAGGCTCGGTACGCCCGACCTTAATCAAACTGTTGATACTACGAATACGGCGTCTTGACAACTCGGACAGAAGAATCATTCCCTCGATGTTGTTGTACTCGAGGAGTGAGACATAGGCGCACATCTCACCGATGCTTTTGACTTGAATCATGACGGCCATGTCGACATCGGGAAACTTGGCTTCGTACATACGGCATTCGAGATTCGGGGAGTTGGAAGCCATGTTTGCGACGGAGGGGATTCGCTAGGGTTTTGATAAGAGAAGGAAGTGACCTGAATGAATCCCGTGAAGAGTAATGAGTGAGCGAAAGAAATTGATCCGACCAGAAACTTTGAAAAGATTGCGTCAGGGGTGCACTAGGGTTTTATAAAGGGTTTGTTTATGTGTTTTGGGCCGTATAGTATCTGGCATTTTCCTTCCCTTATATTTGCTAAAGAATTTAGTTTTATATTGATCTAGGTCTTTGGTTCATTTGATTGGAATAAAATTCACCGAAAAAATATTTCAATTCTAGCGTCGCTACCGCTACCACCACCACTGCAACCACCAACCTAACGTCATTGCCACCAACTCTCACCTACCATTAGTACCACCATCTATCCCAGCTACGGCTACCGTCACCAACATCAACACAACTATCACCCACCACAACCCACCTCTTGCCACCGTCACCACCGCCACCACCACATACCTCTTGTCATTGTCACCACCCACTAGCCTCCACCCTCCACTACCACCATCACCACCACCGCCACTACCAACCACCACCACTACCTACCACTTTCACTATATGTCACCGTCATCGCCACTACCTACCACCGCTATCGTCACTGACATGAATGCTCAATTAATAAAATGAAATTTCACTATTTTATAGTTTATATAATATATCTTTACATGTAAGATATAAATCAAACTAAAATTAAGCAAAACAAATAACAAGAGACAATTTTGTCATTTTCCATAGATTTTAATTATGTTTTCTGTTATTCAAACAGAATATGAAATTAATTCTAATTCCATTTTTTGCTGACGAAACAGATTCATTTTTCAGTTCCAATTTCAATTCCTTCATAAACACTATGCGAACCAAAGATCACCTTATTATATGGTAAAAATAAATATGCGATACAAGATATATAAGTTTAAGTACTCAAACTTATCATATTATATCGTTTTGTATCATATATGCATTACAACGTTCTTAAACTTCAACCCTAACTTGATTTGTTTCAAGCTTTTCAAAATATCACTATTATTGTAACAACCCAAATTTTACAGAAAAAATTAACTTATATAATCATAAATACCAACCTCAATTGTTTCCAACAATCCCATTACATGATCATAGTGTTTTAAAAGATCAGAGTATCAAAACTAAATGTGGAAATACTAGAGAATGCACACTGTGTCATCAAGTCGGGGCCTTACCCTTAGAACTAGAAGACCTGAAACATCCAACAAAAATGTAAGCACACGCTTAGTGAGTTTCCCAAAACACACGAAACATAGATTCACATAGTGACATGCACTCATACATATAAGTTTACCATGGACTCCCTCCATGGTCTTCATTTGAAATGTCATGAGCTACCCCCATGGTCTTGTATCCCCGAGCCATGAGCTCCTCCCATGGTCTTGCCAAGTGTCATAAGCTCCTCCCATGGTCTTGTCAAGTGTCATGGGCTCCTCCCATGGTCTTCACATAAGCTTATATATAGATCAAATAGCAACACATTACATACTCCATTACTAAACATCTTATGTCAATTAATGGGTCGGCCTTTGTGCCTTCGACCCATGAGTGTAGCGAAAAGACTCACATCGATCTGCTGAACACAAAAGTTGTTCGCCTAACATTCTGAAACCTCACATTGAATGTAACATCCCGTTTAAAATAGAGTAATTAAATAAATAAACCCGAAACCCCGAGATGCAAATTTTTATTATTATTTTATATTATTGTAGCCAAAATCAAATAATAATTAGCGAGGTGTTGGTTTCGGAAAGCCAAACAATATAATTTTGGTTTGCAGGGGTTAAAGTGGAATTTCAGGATTTATTTTGAAAGGGATTTTAGAAGTAAGGGGGTATTTGGTATCATTTGGACTTAATATGAATGGATTTATGGAAGCAGGGGATAAAGAGTAAATTATGGACTTAAGTTGAAAATAATTTCTAGAGGGAGGGGCTGATTGGTAAAATTTCAGACTTGATTTGTAAGGGGTTTCAGAAGGCGGGGTTTAAATGGTAAATTACGGATTCGTTTTGGAAAGAATAATAGAAGGAGGGACCAAAGGTGTACATTGAACAAATGTTTGATATGATTGGGTATTAAACCCATTACCTTGCACCAGCCACTAAACCCTAACCCTAGTTACACTATTCTCAGCAGCCAAAATTCATCACCCTTGTGCTCTTTTCCAGTCGCCACCCAATTCCCTCACGTTCTTCTGGCCAGACGAAGCTCCAAACGACCACCAATGTCCATGCTGTCGACAAAAGCCACCATCCAGCACCGTCAATGCCCAGCTGCCCGAAGAGAACCATGAGCAGTCGTCATCTTCTTCTTCCCTTCTGACGCCACTGCTCCCAACGACCGGTCGAAGTGCATTGCTCCTCTATGTCTTCTTCTGTCATTGCATGGTTGATGTTGTCGCCATTCCGGGCGGTTGTTGTGACATCCCCAATTTCACGGCTAGAAAAGACCGATTTGTTTATGCTTTGTTTTTAAAATCAGGGTAATCGTTTAAAGAAAACGGTTGCGGAATTTGTTCCCAAAACAAAAATGATAATAATTTATCAAAACGTTTCTCAAAGAGAATGTAGTTTCATTATATAACAAAATCTCGGGATGTCATGTTCCGATACAGAACAAAAGCATAAACAATATAAAATAGACCTTACAATAGTTATTTATAACTCATGGTCTATAATCCAAAATCTCTCGTCAAATCCACCAATTTATACTCTTGTATCATTACCTGTAATGCAAAGAAAACTGAGTGGGTCAGGCTTGGGAGTCTGGTGAGCATATAGGGTTTTCAACCCACAATAATACATTTATTATATTCAATTATCAAACAATTAACCCAAATACCCATCCTCATATCCCCTTTGTTTTCTCAAGGGTTTACCCTAAGAACCCACTATCCTTAATTAATTCATTCATAAGGAGTTACCTAAGGAATTGGCATGAAATCCATTGCTGCAAAAGTTTATCTATCAAATACTAAATCCATAGCTATCCGATGCTAACTCCATAGTCATCAAGGTTTACTCAACAGACGCTAACTCCATAGTCACCAAGGTTCACTTATCAGGCACTAACTCCATAGTCACCAGGGTTTATACAATAGTCGCTAACTCCATAGTCACAAGGGTTCATACAATAGGCGCTAACTCCATAGTCACCAGGGATCATACAATAGGCGCTAACTCCATAGTCACTAGAGTTTATACAATAGGCGCTAAGTCACATCGTCACCAATGTTTTACTCAATAGGCACGAAGTCACATCGTCACCAACTATTCCATCTACCCATGTTCTACCCAACAATTTTGTAGATATAAATACAAACACAGTTTAAATCATTTAACACCCGTATAAAAACATCAATTCCAAGCCAATCTCAAATAGACAAATAATATATAACACATAGCATGTATTTCATAGTTAATACTTTATATTTATGTGTTAGAAGAAAGTAACTATACACTCACACCAAACATATACTTAATACATTAAAACAATATTTGTATTAAAATCGTGTTTATGAAAGAGACTATACACTCACCTGATCAGAAGATGATCGGACAACACTGCAACTTGTAAAAGTAGTATTCTTTGGTGAAACTTGGATGTCTTCACACACCGGGCTTCTTGCATGCAAAGCTTTGGCTTGGAAACTCTTTTCTTATAGGGATCTTCGGGCTTCGGGACTTGCTTCGGGTCTCGAGATGATACCGGGGCTTCGGGGGTACTTCTTTGCACGTAAATTGAGGTAATATGGGTGAGAGAATAGTGAATTAGCAACCTTGGCGGGTTGCCCCTTCAAATCTATTTATATGGCAAATTTCTCATATTCCACGTCGTGGGCACTTTTTCTACATCGTGGGCTTGGTCGTCACTGCATGCGTCATCGCACGTTGGGTCTGGCAAACTCCAGGAGGCGTTAATAAACATGCCACGTCGTGGGCACTATTTCCACGTCGTGGCCACTGACACAACTTTGGGGTTCGTGCCCCGAACTTCAGAAAGTTATAACTTTCGCATACGAACTCCGTTTTTTACGTTCTTTATATCGACGCGTAGGTGAGAATATGCTCTACAACTCTCGTTCAGACTCTGTTGGCTAACTTTGATTTTATTTTTAATATATTATAAATATATTGTTTTTATATTATTTTTAGTAGGTCGGGACAGGAAAACTCCATTAGAAATTCATAACTTCTTCATCCGACGTCCGTTTTCATCTGTCTTTTTACCATTAGACTACTATCGACGAGATCTTCGATTCTCGTTTAGATTGTTTTGGCTAAAAATCACTCGATCTCATATTTGAGTATCGGGCTGCAAAACGCTAGGTTGAAACTTCGGAAAATCATAACTTTCTCATACAAAGTCAGATTTGGGCATTCTTTTTATGCACGCTCCCGGTTTAACGTATTCTACGAATTTCATTTAGGTCGCTAAATCCAAATATCGCTCTATCATAAATTCACTATTTACATCGTGATGTGTTGTGTCGGTTTTGTTGCGAAACTTCGACAGGCCATAACTTCTTCCTTATAACTCGGATTCCGGTGTTCTTTATATGTACGAAATCGTTGTAACATATACTACAACTTAGTTAAGATTAATCATTCTAAATAATCTTACATCAAAAAGTCATTTTGACACTTATTGTCCTTAAATTGACTAACTCTAATCTAAGGGTGTTACAACTGTTACGGCTGGTGTTCTTTCTCGGCTGCCTTGTGCCACTACAAGAGTGGATGAGATTGTAGTGCATTTCAGCATCGAGCTTGCGACAATTAGGTGTTTTGTGTACGTGTGTTGCTTGGCAAGGAATTAAGAAAACTCGCCACCACCTGTCATCGCAGACCGTTGATGTTGTCGCCTTCCCGTAAAGTTATCGTCGCCATACTTCACCAAGTAGGTGGCTGGGTCCATTTGCAAGCAAAAAAACGTGTGTGTGGGTGTATTTCAACTATAAGTGTGTGTGTGTGTGTTTGGTTTGGCCAGAAAACCAAGAAAAGCCACCATCACCACGGTGAGGTGGTGGCTGCCACCATGTACCACCGTCGGCCACCATAAGGGTGGTTGTATGTGTATTTATCTTAATATGTGTGTATGTTTATTTTGGATTTTGTGTTATATGTTTGTAATCTATGATGAAATAATCA